TAATGATGTATCAACTAGTAGAGTATTACAATTGATCCATTTAGATCTTTTTGGGCCAACTAGAACTACTAGCTTGGGAGGAAAACAATATGCATTTGTCTTGGTAGATGACTATTCTAGATACACTTGGGTTCTATTCTTAAGTACTAAAGATGAATCATTAGAAAATTTCATCACATTTTCAAAAATAATCCAAAATGAAAAAGGTTACTCTATCACTAGTGTTAAAAGTGATCATGGAACTGAATTTGAAAATCTTGGATTTATTGAGTTTTGTAATTCTAATGGTATTAGCCATAATTTTTAAGCACCTAGAACCCCTCAACAAAATGGAGTTGTTGATAGGAAAAATCGAACTTTAGAAGAAATGGCTAGAACCATGCTTTGTGAAAATAATTTGCCAAAATATTTTTGGGCGGAAGCCACAAATACCGCTTGTTATGTTGTAAATCAAGTAATGATTAGGCCAATTTTAAAGAAAACTCCATATGAAATTCTCAAAAATAAAAAGCCTAACATTAGCTATTTTCATCCTTTTAGATGTAAATGTTTTGTTTTAAACAACGGTAAAGAAAACCTTGGCAAATTTGATGCTAAAAGTGATGAAGGAATTTTTCTGGGTTATTCCTTAAATTCTAAAGCTTATCGTGTATTTAATAAAAGAACTTTAGTTGTAGAAGAGTCTATACATGTTGTTTTCGATGATAATCCCCTTCCGAGGAAGGATTCTTCTGTTAATGATGATGTGGGTATTGTACAAGCAAATGACGTTAGACATGATGTTGGAAAATCATCATCAAAGGAAGAAACAAAAGATGAGGAAACTCATGATCCCCTCGAGAATCCAACCAGTGAAGAAAGGGAAGTATCTTTTCCAAGAGAGTACAACTATGTCAAGGATGGTGAAATTATAGGTGATCCATCAAAAGGGGTAACTACTCGATCTTCTCTTAGAAATATCTGTAATTATGTTGCATTTATTTCATGCATAGAGCCTAACAACATCAAAGAAGCATTAAAAGATGAACATTGGATTATGGCTATGCAAGAAGAATTAAATCAATTTGAGAGAAGTAAAGTATGGACATTAGTTGAAAGGTCTAGTAATAAATCTACTGTAGGTACTAGATGGGTTTTTAGAAATAAACTTGATGAAAGTGGTAATATAGTGAGGAACAAGGCTAGACTTGTTGCTCAAGGCTATACTCAAGAAGAGGGCATAGACTATGATGAAACATACGCTCCCGTAGCTAGGATGGAAGCAATTAGAATGTTATTAGCATTTGCATGTTTCAATGAATTTAAATTATATCAAATGGATGTTAAAAGTGCATTTTTAAATGGTTTTATAAAAGAAGAAGTGTACGTGGAACAACCTCCAGGTTTTGAAGATTCAAATTTTCCGGATCATGTTTTAAAATTGACAAAAGCTCTTTATGGTTTAAAACAAGCTCCTAGAGCTTGGTATGAAAGATTGTCAAATTTTTTAATTGAAAAAGGTTTTTTAAAAGGAAAGGTTGACACTACATAGGATTAGTTTTAATTAGTTCTAGGTTGAAATAGTGATCGGACATTAATTGTTTAGTGATTAGAAACTAGATGTTACAACTAATTTCATCAAAAACACAAAAATTTTCCAAAAATTTTAAATTTTCGAAATTAAAAAAAAATATTGTTGTTTTTCAAATCATTGTGTTTTGATTAAATTATGTTATTGTTATGAAAACTATACATATATTGTTTCTCAAAACCATATTTTTTTAAAAGTTTTTCAAAAACTTTGCCCATTAGGATTGATTTAGAGAACCTTGAAATATTGAGGACTCAATTGAGTTTTGGGATTAATTGAATTGCATACATTTGTTTTTAAAATTGCAGGTTATCCAATCTATTCCGATTTTCTTCACCATGTCTAATCCTAAACGTGCTAGGTCTTCATCTAGTCGTTCACACCGACAACCAAATCCACCTCCAAATCCTCCACCTATTCCAATTTCTAATCCTAATCCTATTGATCCTAATTTGACTATCCAAAATTCGTGTTTCAATCATCCTGGTCCTAGAAATCATCGTTTTTGGTATTATCAATATTTCGACTCTTACAAAATCCAAGAAGAACGTATTCCTTCTCGTCAAGCTATGTTAGCTATCAATTTTAAATATCTTCCTCTTTTACAAGAGTGGAAATTTGATAAACTCTTTGACCTTGAACCCATCGTTTACCATCAACTTGTTCGTATTTTCTATTCTAATGCCGTTTGTGTTAAAGACCAAACTGAAACCAAAACCATAGGAATTCGTTCCTACCTTCTAGGATAATTCTTATATATTGACTCGGCTTACATAGCCAATACATTCGGATTAGATAATGAAGGGATTTCAAATGAAAAACAGGTTTTAGGATCTCGTTATAAAAGAAGGGATAATGCAAGTGTCCTAGACCTTCATGAACGTTTTCTTCATCTAATGATTTCTTGGTGGTTTCGACCATCTGGAGGTCGTTATTCTACTCTTAGAGCCTTAGATCTTTGGTGGTTACATTGTTTCGAAAACAATATTAAAATCAACCTACCTCAGATTATTTTTGCTGAAATTGTTGAAACCGTAAATCTTGTTCCTAATAAAAAACTTTGTTCATCTCTTGTTTACGGTTATATTTTGAGTAATCTGTTTTCCAAAGCTGGGCTTAGAGTCGGTCTAGATGCCGTTTTTCCTCTTAAGAAACAAATTAACCTTCTTTCCTTAACGAGAGCGGGATGGATTAAGGATAAGGAAACCGGGGAATGGGTTCGAACTTCTGCAACTACTCCGGGAGCTAGTTCTTCACAAGCTCCACCCGAAGCTGACGAAGATCTCGAGCTTGAGCAACTAATTCGAGACATCGATGAAGCTGAAGCTGAACCTGAGCAGGCCGAGGAGCAGCCCGAAGAGCAAGCACAACAATCGACTCAAATGCCTCCATATTTTCAATCTTTTATAGAGACATTTGATTACCGATATGCGACCATGGATTCACGCTTTATTTCTATAGAGTCCCATTTATCCACAATGGGAGCTCAACAATTAGAAATTCTTCGGGAAATGCGTGCAAATAATGAAGCAACCAACGCACGTATTAATGACCTCACTAACGAAATGGCCGCTATGCGAGCTCGTTTTCCTCCTCCTAATCCGGATATATGATTAAATGTTTTACTTTGTTTTCCAAACTTATTGTTTTAACATTTTGAATATTTTGGGATGTTTGAATTTGAGGATTGTGAATTTGTTTGGATTTATGGATGGTTTGAACTTATATGTTTGGTGTGATTTATTTATTATTGCATCATTTACATCATTATTAGCAATATGACCAATTTTGCCATATCACATTATTTATGAATATTGATTACGGAACTAATGGCTAACGTTTCTCTTAATTGTGATCTTAGCAGCTTATGCATACATATACCTAATCAATTGGCTTAATATTTTTCACGTTTATTTGAATCTTTTTGATTTAACAAAAAGGGGAGAAGTGTGTTTTAAGTGTGTTTTTAAAATGATAAATGGGAGAAGTGTTAAAGTAAGGGGGAGTAATTTCAAAACTTGATTTCAAAATCTTAAAATTACTAAAATGTTTTGTTATATCAAAAAGGGAGAGATTATTGAAAACATTTTGATATTTCGATATAACAAATTAAGTTAAATGAATTTTAAGATTTTCCAAAATGATTTTCTAAGTATATTCGATATAATTATTCGAATATCAAAACATTACTCAAAATATTTCAAAAATCAATTTTAATCCTTACTTAAGTGTAAAATTAAGTTTTAATCTTAAAACAATTTCAAAATAATCTTTCAAAGTATTTCGAACCATTTCAAAGCCAAAAATTCCAGATTGCTCAGATGGAACCGATTCCCCCCCAAGGGGGTACCGATTCCCCCCCTGAATGGTTTGGCTCCGAGATTTTCAGAATGCTCGGAGGGAACCGATTCCCCCATAGGGGGTACTGATTCCCCCCTGTTCAACGGTCGAAATATTTGAATTTTACACTTAGGGAACCGATTCCCCATAGGGGGTACCGATTCCCCCCATGCTCCAAACTGTTTTATTAATTGTTTTCACACTAAAACAGTTATATGATCTTCACTAATCATCCCCAACGTTCAGAAGAGATTCAAGGTGTATTTAAAACAAGTTCTGAAGCCCTTGATCAACAGGAAATTATAGGGAAACAAGAGAGAAAGCATCAAACACCAAGTTTGTGCAAATCAAGCCAATTTTCCTTTCAATATTCATTTTGCTTTCAAGAACACCATTTGTGCTCATTTGTAATTATCTTTGAGTGTTCTTTTCTTGTTCTAGAATTGTGCAAACATCTTACCTTGTGAGGTTTTCTTGTAAGTTTGCAAATTTGTAATCTTCTCTTTGGGAAAAAGAGTGTTCTCAAGAGTTGGGGTATACTCTTGAGGGATTTTGTAAGGTTATCTCTTTGGCCTCAAAAGAAAGAACAAATTAGTGAATTTGTTGGAAAATCCTTAGTGTGGATAGCTAAGGTAGTGGACATAGACTTTGTTTGAGAAAGTCGAACCACTATAAATCGATGTGCAATTACTTTCAATTTTTCTGCAAAAGCTTCCACGAAATTTTTAATTGCCAATTCACCCCCCTCTTGGCTGATTCCGTCGATCGATTAACTCAACAATAGCCTTTAACTATCTCCTGGGCTAACAAGGTATTGTCAACAATATTCCTACCTTTAACAAAAGCAGATTGACTAGGGGAAATCATACTAGGAAAGATAAGAGCCAACCTAGTAGTGATAATCCTAGTAATTGTTTTGTATACCACAAAGCAGCAAGAAATTGGCCTAAAATCCTTTGTCATGCAAGCATTCAAAGACTTAGGGACTAAGATAATAGAGGTAGCATGGAAAGCTGGCAGCAGAGATGAAGAGTGGAAGAAATACCTTACTGCAGCTAAAAAATCATTTCCAACCACATCCCAAGCTGCTTTAAAGAACCAAGAGGGAGAAACCATCAGGGCCAGGGCTCTTGCCATTACCTTGCCTAAACAAAGCCTCTTTTATTTCCTTGTCATCCTCCTCTTTGATGAGCATATCACCAGCACCTTTTGGCAGAGAGTAGTTCAATAAGTCCTTGAGCCACTCCACAGGAAAATTTTCTACCATTGGATCAGTAGTCCCAATAAGGTTAGTGAAGAAGTTCACTAACTCATTCGCTATATCATCAAATGAATCCAGATACTGACCACTTCCAGACAATAAAACCTTGATAGTATTCCTCTTCTTGTTAGACTCAACCCTTTGATGGAAAAATTTAGTGTTAAGATCCCCCTCTTTTAACCAGTGCACCTTTGCAATTTGCCTATAAAATTCAGACTCAGCAATCTCCAAATCAACCAGCTCAGCATGAATGTTTCTCTCTTCCTCAATACTTCTTTGATCAGTGCAGCTGAGATTAAGCAGGTTGAATCCTCTCCAGTTCTGCTCTTTTATTAAGCACCCTGCTGGAAATGTCAGAGAAATGCTCCTTATTTAGCTCCTTCAATCTAGGCTTAAGTCTTTTCAATTTAGAAAACAGCCTTTGCATAGGATTGCCCGCGCACTACTCCAACCAAGAAAGCTTAACAACTCCCATAAAACCAACATTTGAAGTCCAGCGGTTAAAAAACTTGAAAGGCTTAGGCCTCCTAGCCAAAGCATCCTTCTGTGTCCAGATCATACCAAGACAATGATCTGAAGCACCCTGTGCCTTGAATTCAGCAAAAGAATCGGGATGAGCAGTTAGACATTCAGGATTAACCAAAATCCTGTCAAGCTTGCGAGCAAGAAAACCCTCATCTTGCCTATTAGACCAGGTGAAAGTGGGACCAAGGAAAGGATGGTCCAACAGGTCCAAATCTCCTAAACAGTCTTGAAAATCTTCCATATCAGAGAAGCTGTGCACACCCAAGGACTCAAAATCAGAGCTCTCATTTGCACTAAGAACAACATTAAAATCCCCTCCAACCACCCAGGGGGAAGAACCAACCAAGCTTTCCAAACTCCTCAAATGATCCCATAAACCTCTCCTGCCAATCCCACTATTACTGCCATAAACAGTAGTAATCAGTGTCCTACAGCCATTGATATTGCCAGCAATGGAGAGAGACTGATCACTAGCACTAAAAATAGAGAAGGACCAATGTTTCCTCCATAGAATCCAAATTCTGCCCCCCTCCGCAAAATCAGAATTACCTGCCAAATACCAATCATCAGAGTAAGATGAGTAAAACTTCATAGAATTAATTCTTCTAATACGGGTTTCCAATAGACAAACGACATCAACTCCCAAATCCACTAGCCTTTTAAAACACCTTATGTTGCTTAAGAGGGTTATTAATCCCTCTTACATTCCAAAAACTCACTATCATCAGTTTGCAGCAGGACCTACACCACTTCCAGTCCCCACATTACCACTAATTTTTGCTTTATCCACAAGATCCCTCTTTTTAGACTTGATTTCGTTAAGCAAAGCGGCAACTCCTAAGGAGGCCACCCGAACCTTCCTCGGACCATCAAGCACACCTCCCTCAGCTAGCGATTCAAATTTACTAGAAGAACCAGTATTACCTTTCTTCCTCCCTCTAGCCTTCTTATTTGAAGCCATAGAATCTTTTAAAGTAGGGAAATCCCCCACAGAACATGTATCCTCCTGTAATACATTAAGAGCCACTTCCTCAACTAAGGAGGAGCTAAGAGTGTGATCAAGGCCAACAGAACCAGCCACCACACATTATCCCTCATATGCAATCTTTGGATCCTCCTTGCACACTACAGAAGCAGACTCCACCTTATTAGAATCATCCACCCCAATACTGCCATCAACAACTACAAGGTGAGAAATAGCAAGCAACTCTTGTAAGGCTGAAACATTGGTTTCCACAACATTACCAACCAACAACTCATGGTTTGAAACGCCAGCACTAAGAGCAGAGCTAACATTACCTGAGGAGCCCAAAGGCAAATCGGAAAGCACAGGAGAGGAACTCTGAATAATAATTGAATCCATCTTTCCCTTATCACAGAGCTCGGAGGAGCTGATGCCCTTTTCCCTCCAAACTTTAACCTCGTGCTTCACCTTCTGAGACACAACACACCTATTTGCCCAGTGCCCAAAAGTTCTACAACAGGAGTAAGATTTTGGTAACAACGGAACAAAGACCTTTATAGTAGCCAAGGATCCATTCTTAAGGGCAACATTTACCTCTTCAGGAATCCCGGACCCCGCATTGATCTCCACACACACCTTCGCATATTCCAGTCTCTCCCTAGAAGCAGTAATGGAATCCATATACAGTATATTCCCTAAATCACTGGAAATGTAACTGAGACCTTTCCTAGAGTATAATTCCAACGGGACGTTATAAATATGGAACCAAACAGGCATAACAGAGAGATCAAAATCAAGTTTCTGCATACAAGGTTCCCATTTCCTCAGCACCAGAGGTTTATTCTGGACATGCCAAGGTCCATTCTCAAGCACTCAGTCCCTAACAGAAGTGTTCATGAATGAGAAAACATAAAGATTCGAACCAGCTAAGCTTACCTTTACTGGCGAAGATTTCCCCCAGAGCGAGTTAATAATCCGCTGCATCGATTCAAAATTTGGAGCAGCACCAATAAATTGGCCAACAATCGCAGAGTTCCATTCGGCAATACCCTCCTCAAACACCGTCAAAGGCGGTTTAACAGTAGTGGTACCATCCAGGACCTCAGGGGGAAAGAAATCCAGGGACTGCTCCTCCGTCCCCACAAAAAGCTTCCTCCAATCTAGTTTAAGAGCCTTCGAATCCATGCAAAAATCAAAATAAAACCAACAACAACGCAAAAAAGAAAGAGCCCAGCGAGAAATTAGAATCGAAGAAAGAGATCGGAGAACACATTAGGCCAGCTAACGTGCGCCTCGAGAGCTTCCATGTTCGGTATCTTTTTTAGATTGTCTTAGTTCAGGTATTCTAATTAAAAACAATAAAATACATAAATATTTAGTTATTAAAAAATACCAACCTATTCACCCAATACCATCGGCCCAAATTACAAATAATATAATTACGATTTTTAAATACTAAACTGTAAATTATTAAAGAATTATATAATTTTTTTAAATAACTGGAAAATAAATAAAAACGATTACATCTTTTTTTTTATGCATCATGATCCATGTTAAATGAAAAATGCAGAATCCACCATAAAATTAATCTGAGTAACTTATTCATTTTTAAGATAAAATCTATTAATATTATATGATTGAAATAATAAAAACTCGTAAATACTAAAATGTATCTTCTAAATGCGACTTTATTATTATTTGTTTTCAAAACTTTGTAATTTATTTTACTAAATTGAAAAAAATAATGTTTAATACCCTTATACAGGAGGAAATACATGTTCTGTAAAAAGCGTTTTATTTAAAGAAATTAATTTTTCTTGAAACAATGACAACTGAATTTTATCAATAAAATTATACATCTTTGATTATTATTATTTTAAGAGAGAAACGGACTATAACTATGTAGAGTGAAATCGAGTTAACCTAAAAATACCTTTACCAACTAAAAAAATATTACTTTTTAAATAAATTTAGATGTTATTATAACAATTACTTTTAAATAAATATTTTCTGATAAAATTTAAAATATTTTTGGGACTTAAATCAGTTGAATACTTCTCCCTATCTTAATTTTATTTATTTATTTGTGCGGAAATTCAGTTGAATTTGCCCATCATTGACTCATTCTGAGTTATCTAAACTGTTTTGAGATATCTAGAAGATTAGACAAAAAAAAATACTTTTTATTACTTAAAATTTAACATTGATAATCGAAAATATAAAATTACGTTCAAACAATCTAGCATTTAATCACGTGCATATTTCCTTAGTCAAAGGAATGTTTGATACCTTTAACTTAGAATAGATCAAACCCGACAGCTCCTTATTAATGGGAGTTCTCATTTACGACAATTTAATATACGGTTAAAGAAAGAAGTTATCATATTTTGTTATTATTGGGCGTTTTATCAGGTTTGATAATATATCCGGTAAAATAAATATTTTAGGTAATACTTTACCGGATATATTATCAAGCTCGGTAAAACGCTCAATAATATTTTGGGTAGAAATAATAATGTTTCCGATAACTTTTTACCGATTTTATTAAAAAAAAATAACAAAATCAATAACATCTTTCTTTAACTATATATTAAAACCGCAGTACGGTAGAACTTCTCTTATTAATGATTTTTTATGTTAATATTAATAATTTTATAACTAACTATAAATTACCTTTTAAAATCATTAGTGTGATTCTCATCTAGATTAGCCAGTAGGGCGAGTACTGATTTTGCCCGATTCATCTTAACCGTACGTTTTTAAATTGTTGAGAATTTTAATGTTTAATTAATTATATAATAGTAAGAATTAAGCGACCTCGATAGTAAATAAATTGTTTTTTCTCTTCAATTTTTTTATTCAAGCACTATAAATGTCAGAAATATAAAGATTCAATGTTAAATGATTGAAAATTATCTTTGAACATACACTACATTGTACTTATTTCATATTAATTAAAAATATATAATTAATTTAAATATTAAATAAAAAATAAAGAATATACTTTTATTTTTAAATACATTGATGTTGATTATAATCATAAATGTTGTATTATAATTATTTTCTAATGATTAAATGCTGGTTATTAAGATCACGAGAATAATTATTTTCACGTTGTTTAAATTTAATAATTATTTATGATGTAAACTAATTAATTGATTTAAGTTATAAAAGAGAATATTATTTTCTTAGAAATTTTAGAGAACAATTGTGTTTATATATTACTAATATGTTAAAAAATTATAAATATATACTATATGCTAATAATTTTAAATTATTAAAAAAATAATTACTTATGATGTAAGTGGCATGGAAGCTTTAGGTTAGGAATTTAAGATACTATTTAATATTATATTTTAAAATATTACCCATGACCTATTTTTTTTTAAATCACCATAACTTTCACACGTACTATCTTATAAAAATTATACATTTTACAAATAATACTGTCAATTATTCTCATGAATATATATATATATATAAGTGGCGGATCCAAAAATTTATAAATGATGTCTAAAATTTTAATTTTTTTCTTAAAAATAATGGGGAGCAAATTTTTTTTATTTTTTCTATTTTTCTTTGACATATTATATTAAATTTCATTTTTTTCTTAAATAATGGGAATACATGGGTTTAGTGCATCCGCCCCTGATATATATATATATATATATATGCACACAAGTATGTGTAGGTGTTTTCTTAATAAAAAAGATATTTATTAAAATATTAATTCAAAATAAATCAAAATTTGTAACATCAAATCCAAACTCACATGAATTCACGCACAAATGATACAGAAGTTCATGAAGAACGTGACTCAGTCTGAGTCAGACAGTAGTTTCCAATTGAAATTGGATACTCTGATGAAACAGAAGAGAGTAACTGACCTCAGAATCCCAAAAATCCGATAAAAAGTTAAACTGTCCCCACCAACCACCTACTTGCCCATTAAACAATACCAGCTGGTAATGAAACTGAAAAACAGGGATCAGTATTTGTACAAAACATTAAGGGTTTAAATACGTTAAATATCCCCATACTATTTCAAAACTTTAAGTTTACTTCTCATTCTTTATTTTCATAAAATTGAGTTTATATACTATTTTTTATTTGAAAATTTTGATCTCTATATTAGATTTTATTTAGTTTTATCGTAAATTATTGACTTCATAACTGTAAAAATGATAAAAATAACCTTTTTCCCTCTATGTTTATGATTTTATCATTGACATAGATATTAAGGATCAAATCGATTAAAGCCGATAAATGTAAAGATTAAAAAACTATTTTATTTTTATATACTTAACAAGTTAAAATTAAACTAAATATGAGAGAGAAATTAAGATTTTAGAATAAAATAGTATAATAATTCAGCTTTTCAAAGAAGTATAAAGATTATATTTTAAGTGTGAAATAGTATAGGGACCTTAATATATTTATCTCAAAATTAAGATTAGAACCAACCGAGTCTACCTTCATAGTTTTTTCCAGTCAAACATATCCAAATCCCGCGTTTCGCCGAACCCTGTTTTTCTTCTTTCTGAAATGGAAAGTGGTCCCCTTTCTCCCTTTGACCACTCTCCTAGCGATACCCTTCCTCGCCCTACATTTACTCATATATTATCCCCTCACCTTCACTCTCGATTTGCTATTAACAAAATCCCAAATAAGGCAGAGAGAAAAGCAAAAAGTTCCAGTTTTTCTCTTCTTTTCTTTTGATTCTTCGGTTCTGTGATTCTCAGACATGGGGTTTGCTAATTCAGACAGGGTAACAAGACATGTGAGGATAAGGGAAGTATGGTCGGACAATCTAGAAGCGGAGTTCGAGTTGATCAGTCGAGTCATCGATGAGTACCCTTTCATTTCCATGGACACTGAATTCCCGGGTATTGTTTTTAGGCCGAAAGTGGATCCGACCCGGCCTTACAGTGCCCAGTTCCGACCTTCCGATCATTACAGGATCCTCAAATCCAACGTTGATGCTTTGAACTTGATCCAAGTTGGCCTCACCCTCACCGATTCTTCGGGTAATCTGCCTCACCTGGGGACCGACGACGAGCAGTTCATCTGGGAGTTTAACTTTCGCGACTTCGACGTGGAGCGTGATTTCCACGCGCCTGATTCCATCGCCCTCTTGAGGAAGCAAGGGATTGATTTCGAGAAGAACAGGGAGATGGGGATCGACTCGGAACGTTTCGCTGAGTTGATGATGTCTTCTGGGCTCGTTTGTAATGAGTCGGTGAGTTGGGTGACTTTCCACAGCGCGTATGATTTTGGGTACTTAGTTAAAGTACTCACGCGCCGCGACTTGCCTGGCGGCTTAGATGAGTTCTTGAAGGTTCAGAGGGTGTTTTTCGGGAGCAGAGTTTATGATTTGAAACACATGATGAGATTTTGTCAAAGCCTGTATGGTGGGTTGGACCGGGTGGCTCGGACTTTGGATGTGAACCGGGCGGTTGGGAAATGTCACCAGGCCGGGTCAGATTCCTTGCTGACATGGCACGCGTTTCAGAAAATGAGGGACGTGTATTTTGTGAAGGATGGACCGGAAGAGCATGCCGGTGTATTGTATGGATTGGAAGTTAATTAAAAAATCGTGTAATTACCTCATAATTTCATTTAATTAATTCGATGGTTAAGTTGAAAATTAGTCCTAAAACTGGCTTATCAATTATAGTCTAGATGCGTTAAATTCTTTAGTCATTTCCTGACTAGGGATAGGCATAAATCGGGTTTGAGACTTGGGAAAATATTTAATTTAATACCACCTAAGAATAGGAAAATAATTACAAATAGTCTTAAGTTGCCAAAATTTGAATTCATAATCCGATTTTTATTAAGACTTAAAGCTAAGTCAATCATTTTTTTGGGTACATAGATGAGGATAGCAGCTAAAGCCCGCCTACATTCTGATGAAACTAATTCCTCTCTTGTCAGCCTCCATTAAGGATTTTATTTCCTCCTTACCACTAATCAGTACTTTATACCTTTTACTGATCCTTTAGGACCGTTACTTGAACTTGTTTACGGTGGACCATTATTTATCACTAAACATACCATAAGTAACGTCAATTGGTAGCTAGTGTAGTGATGAATAATGTATGTTGACAAATTATCTACGTTTCAAGAGCTCGTATTATATATATACTTTTTCATTTAAGCCGTAAAAAAAAACTGTGGTTTTAGGGAAACATATTTGAGAAAGACGAGGTTTGTTCATTATTTATTAAAGATGAAAAACCCTAAATAAGGTAATACATAGACGAACATCCCTCATCTCGAGAGAACACAGTTCAAAGGAGCAACTTTAAAACAGCAATAACAAGATAATATTAGTCTCAACAACGACTCGAGAGGGAAAACAAAGCTACGCAATACACGAAGACAAGATAGAAGCTGATACAGAACTACTATCTCAGCTGACACAAGTGAATAAACACCAAGCTTTGAAGAGATTTGACCTATACATCCCAGAGTTACCAAGGTAGTCTATCATTCCGTTGCGTGTCCTTGGAGCATACAAAAGCTCGATGAACTGATATTCTGACATTGTACGATCAATCTCTAACAAAGTACGTCACCACTTCCATGGTCTTTGCAGCGGATTTGTGATCCAATTGAGCAACTTTAGAGCTTCATTTTATAATAAGACTAACTATATCTTCCCAGTTTGTCTCAAAGAAAACCTTCAAGTCTACACAAGTAGTCATTAGTTCCACAAAATTATACTCCATTAGGCAGGGGCGAATGCACTAAGCCTCCGTAGGGGTTAAATGCATCACATTATTTTAGAAAAATGATTAAATTTAATTTAGTGTATTAAGAAAAATAAAAATTTTGTATACCCATTATTTCAAAAAAAAAATTAGACCCTTATTCTTAATTTTTTGGATCTGCTACTGCCATTAGGGATAAGGATCTAAAATCATATCTCGAATTCGACCAATATTTGTGTGACGAACACCTCTACAACCTGCTAAGTCTAGTTTTGATGTGACATCAATGTTAAACTTGACCGAATCACGTGACAGTGGGATCCAAGATATCGAAACTGATTTTTCTTATGACGAACACTTTAAGGGGTTGTCCCACAAATATGTATTAACTATTTTAGAGCCTTTATTTGTTGCATTCTGATGCTTCGATTAATGTAACAACAAAAGTGCAAGTATACACTATCGTATTAAGTAATAATGTGGATACAAATTAATGCATCGAGTATCGTATCCACATAGACTACTATTACTCAAAGAATTGTCATAGCATTAAGTAAGTAAAGTAACATAATTGTGTAGGTGATGTTGTGATCAAAGTAATAAAAATATAAAAAAAAAATAAGAGAATGAAAATATGAAGGTATGAAGGGAATCACAATAGTGACAATGAAAGTAGCAGATCTACTCAAGCTAAAGATTATGATATTGTTAAACACAATCATGCAATTAACGATGTCACAACAATAAGATTGATGTGCCTATCATTAACTTAGTAGGTTTTCCTCTCTCGATGACTCCATCCAAAAACTCACAACAATGCTATATCTCTATACCCACTTATGCAAATTTACTAAGTATGCTACAACAACCAGTCAGATAGATCTCTCTACACTGAAATATTGCGCTCGCAATCATTAATGCTCCAACAATGACACTCATCTCTCGATGCAATGCTCACAGAATGCCCCCACCTCTCAATGCAATGGACTGAACAAATATATATATCTCTGTACTAAATGTCTTAACAAAACTGAGCAAACATCAATCGAATCAATGAACAAAATTAATCAAACAAGAACTTTATAAAATATATTTAAAAACATAAGTATCCAATGTTTAACAAATCTCACACAAATTAAAGAGTATTTGAACTAAAAAAATAAAAACCCCTTCTCAGATTCGTTTCATCATTGTTGCAATTGATGTTGTCGCCAATCACTGCCACCACCGTCTCGGCGTAGTGACTTTGCCTTCACGTCTAGCTACTTCTCTCCTTCAAAGTTGCCTAAGTGACCATGGTTGTCAGTGAAGAAAGAAAAGAATAAAATAAAACCCTAAAAATCTATCTCTTTAATTAAGTGTTGTTGTCTCCTTTATATAATAATTAAAACCCCTAAAAACTAGAATTTAAGCCCCCATTAAATGGAGACTCCTTTTACAATAAGACTTCTTTCTATTTTTCAGTACTTTCCATAATAGGATTCTATACAGCTGTCAATAGCTTTATGCTCACACATTGATTGCTACAGCAATGACCCAACAATCTTGTCTCGTAGCAACTTACATCAACAATTGTAGCATTAGAGAATGTCACAACATCATGGTAATAATATCATATTAAACTATCATAAGTAGTCCAATAATTACCAACTCACTCCCAACAATGCATGTAATACAAAATTAACCAAAAACACTCTAAATATGATCATAATATGCTAAAGTGCAAACACAAACCTAAGTAAAAAAGATCTTAAATAATAACTCTTTTGAAGAGTTATCACACCCCCAAACCTAAGTGTCTACTTGTCCTCAAGCAATGCATGACAAAAACTTTCCCTTAGCAATTAAACAACATAACTCTCACGCTTTCCTTGCACCTGTCATCTTAGAACATTGTCAATTTTCTGCCAATCACCTTCGAACCTTAAGACAACAAGAAATCAACTCAAATACACTTATGATGCTCGTACATGTGTATGCTCTTAGTCATGACAGTTCACCACCATGGGTATTTTTAGATAATATCTTAATTATCAAAGTAATTAATTAAGTAAAATATGTCACAACAATTACTATTTAGCTTAACTAAATCTTCATCTCATCAAAACTACCTACCAATACTTGAGTAGTAAGATGGCACCACCAACGAACCCCTAGCCTTTTAGGTAGAGTTATCCTGTGAAGACTTTCATTCACTCATGCTTTTCGAGACTATCTTTCATACCTAGTATCCACTAAGCGTATCAGACTTGCCTTAGTAATGTAGTGTCCTAGAGCTAAAAGATTGTCGTGAACAATTTATTCAGTTAAAGCCAGTTGGGCACCTCTAGCAATTTACATAGAACTTAGACAAGGTGTATTTATTTATTTATTTATTTTTGACATGAAAAATAACTAAATATTCTCCAAAATACCCACAAGTCAACCAAGCACGACATTTGGTAAATATTTATAGCATAATTAGAATCACTAAGGAAATCTTAAGTTGTCTCTAAATCCTAATGTTCTCGATATTAGATTGCTATCGACAATTATTTCATCACAGGTAAATGCAAAGTCTCACAATTGTCTGCTTATCTAAATGTCATGGAAAACTCGAATAAACAACACAACATCCACAACACAAAACATGAACATGACAAATACACATAACAATAAATAACATAAACAAACAACACCCCCAAACTTGAGATGTGTATTGCCTTCAATGCATGTAAAAGTAAAACATGAGAGAAGGGATACCAATACTCCCCTAATGTTGTTGAAGATGTTGTGCAACAATAACTGTTGATGTATTACTAACGCTACAACAATGATAATCTGGAATACAAGAAGATGCTGAGTAGAAATGGTTGTTTGTAACTCCAGCTGATGTTGTGAAACAAAGGCATCATGACTTATAAAAAAAACTCAAGATAAAAGCATTAAATAAAATAATAAAAAATAATCTAATGTCATAAATAACATATTGAAAGCAAGTAAATAAGCAAGATTTCATATAGTAAAATGAAAGTTTGTGGTAACTTCTCCTAGGTCCCAATAAAATGATATCCTTTTTTGATTTTCGAAGGTTTCTATGACATAATCGTGCTGCTCTAGGTCCTTTGCGCTTGTGAGATTGAAACATTGCTCAAAGTATAACTCTTACTTCATGAATCAGTCATAAAACACACTTCTTCATTGTCACTATTGAAATATTGTGACTTCACGGAGTGAATTTTCAGATGAGAGCCTTCATTGTTAAAGCCTTGCGAAACCTTCCTTGTTGCCTTCATTGTTGTTGTGTTTTTCTACAACATGGTAACATTTGCAATTTTCTTTAGGGGCTCATGTTGCGACTCTGTATTTAACATTATTGGTGTAGAACTGTAGTTGATGTCAGCATCAATGTAGAAACATTGGTTCCCATCGATTGACATAGTCTCTTCATGGCGTGGCTCGTCTAATTCTTTTATTATCATAGTGTTGTACCTTAATTTTGTATGGGTATTTTAAGTTGAATCCAAGGCAATTGAAGACTAATTTGAATTGTACACTCGAAGAATGGTTCGTGACGTGTGGGTCCAGAAAGCTCTAAATCACTCGAAAGGTCATCGTGGATTCATACTCTTCTATTAATCTAGAGTTGATGCACAATTTCGGGGTTGTCTGGATTCATGGTTGCTTAGAGGAATAACAAATAACAGTTATGGGTGACGAAATTATAAGTGGAATTTTGGATGGTCTCACTCATGTGGCATTATAGAAATGATGTCCAAATAAATTGACATGCCCATTTACATAACCAAGTGCCCAATTTTATTTGAACTCAGACCCAGTCAAACCCTTAGCCCTTAGCCCCATTTTACATATTCATTTACCCAAACACGTTTCATAGCTC